TAATAAAAGGTAGATAACAATGCTTAAAAATGAAAGTTGTAAGGAACATTTACATTATTCAACCATAGGTGGCGAAGAACAGCTATCAGAAATACGGCACTGAATAATTCTTCAAAAATGACCATCTAGCAATGAAACATGACGTTTTACAAGTCAATAGCTGAATCATTTATTGAAAATGAGAATAAAATAAATATGGGTTGTACAAATCATAATGTTAGATTTCTACATTTAGCGTTATCATCAACAGCTGTTGCAGTGCATTTTTCACCGTATTGAATATTTTACAGTTTATTTTCATTCAGCTGATTATTTTTCATTATATTTTTAATATAATTACAGCTTCTAATTTCTGTTTGCTAAAACCAAAAGTTTTTTGCAGTGCTGGTTTTGTTAGAAATGGAAAGCAAATTACATTCGTCTCCTGTGAACGTAAATGGTCCGATCTGTGACTAAAAGACCAGGTCCCACTTTATATTAAGTCGCCTTAATTAATATTTACTTACACAAGAATTAAAAGTTTGTTACAATGTACTTATTGTGTAAATACATGTATTTACTGTGTACTTGTGCTTGATGTAATTACATCTGTAGATAACTTTTGTAATTACATTTGTAAATACACTGTTGACCATCCCTTAAGCCTGATTTATACTTCTGCGTCAGGTGATCGGCGTAACCCACGGCGCAGGCAACGCGCGTGGCTGTGCATTTATACTTCTGCGCGCTGTCTCTGCCGGTCTGCATTAACACTTCCGAAACGCTAGTTGGCAGTGAGGTGTAAATGTTCCTCTGTGTCAAGTTTCTTCGCTACTTTTTTGCATTTCCTGAACACTTCCGGGATGTACAAGTAGCTCAAACTCGCTCATTTTGAGGCAGGAACCGGCGGACGTGCAACAACTTTAACTATGAGGTAAACACAAAACAAAACTTTCAATCCGGAGCTCCTTCACGGGACTCCACACTTGTAAACAATCGCTCGCGCGGCGTCGCGCCATTCGCGCGCCTCTCGGTCCCGCCCAGACTCGTCAGCGCTACCAAGCCGACCAATCACAGAGCTTGCGCTACGCGTCGTTGCGACGTGTAGTTACATTTTTTGAGAGGTGCACGTCAGTGACGGCGATGGCCACGGCGAAGGGCTATGTGTCAGCGCCGTAGCATACGCCGGTGTTTGACGCAGAAGTATAAATCAGGCTTTACACCTCAACCCCCCCTTAAACCTACCCATACCACCAAACCTGTCCGTAACCCAACGTCTATCCCAACTCAAAAGCACCACAAGTGTTCTCAAATACATTAGAAACACAGTAAGTACATTGTATTTATTTTTGATGCAAGTACATAGTAGTTAAGGACACTTAATATAAAGTGGGACAAAGGACCATAATGTGATCCGAACTGTGAGATTTGTTATCCGTTACACCACTAACATTTGTCATATATAAAGTTATAAGGTGAAATGGCTAAATCTCAAATATTTCATTTGCTTTTGTTCATTTTTGCCATGACAACATAAATCAAGAAACTAAACAACAACAAAAAAGACTCCCATAATTGCATATTACCCCAGTACAATAAATGACACTTTCCTACTTCATGTCTAATTATATTCAGGTAAAAAATGTTTCAAATAATAGATAATAGTTTGAATCACTGGACTAATCCACTCTAATTAAATGGTTTCCCTACAGAAAGAGAACAATGAGGTTTAAGCAGTGAACAGTGAGGCAGTGACGGACGAGCTTTCTGAACAATATCAGCCTGTGAATATGGAGGCAGAGGCCTGCAGCAGTCTCTCTGGAGCCTGTGCCAGCTGGTGTAAGCTTCAGCAACCTTCAACATGCTGGAGAAACACCACTGTGTCATCTGCTTACTCACTCACTCCAAAACACACATGTAGAGGAAAAAACACACAGCTGTTACTGTTACTGTACTTGTTGGTTTTCATTACCAATGCAAAATAGAGTATCATAAGCAATCTATTATGGCATTTTATGAGGAGAATATTACGGTGACGCATTACTGTCACAAGAGATATAATAGCATGAAAACTTTATATCATGATTATAGTAGCAAAATTTAGCACAGTTATTAATATTACCGCACTTTTGTTAAAATTACCTAAAAATGTAAAAAAAAAAAAAAAAAATTACAATGCAATTTTTTTTATTTCTAGTCCAGAGGCCAGCTGATTGATGGCGCAATACACCCAGCACCATATGGGGTAAGACGTGTTTGGCGAGATTTGTTGCTATTTTCAGTCCAGCGCATCTGTAATTTATGTTTTGCAGCATGTTGTTTAAATAGCAAATCCATTTGCGCCACTTTGTGGACTCAAGGGTGTGCTGGGGTGTTCTTCGTACCTCGCTTAAATGATCTAAGATGATTTGGCAGATCCTGGATCTTTTAATCTTGATAACTGATCTCTTGCTAATTTGGTTCTTCAAACAAGTTCGCGAATCAGATTAGAATGTCTGGATGAACTGATCTGAGATCGCTGCGTGTGTATTGAAGGACAGATCTATCCATCCTCGAAATCATGATCAGCAATGCAACGATTGGCTGACGACACAGCAGCGTAATGACATTATCTGATTAATATTCAATTATCCATGTGAGCAAAATTACATCAAATTAGCAGTAAACGGCTTGTTAAATATGTCACGCAATAACTTTCCACATTTGTTGTGAGCTGCAGGCTTTATACTTTCATGTGTCAAGAGTATTCATCATGTATTTCAATGCAAATCAATGTATTTAGTTTTACATTTAGAAAAGTTTTTCTTTATTATAGTAGCCGTTTTTTTAATCGGTGTAAAGAATAACTGGATGTTTACAAAAGCATTTTGATATTGGTAAAGGCGTCTGCAACTTTTGTAAAGCATCAAATCACTGCATATTAACTATCAAAACATGTTTATGACTGCATAAATGTATTACTGCTTTAAAAAAAGTCATATATTGTGCATGTTTATTATACACAATTTGTACTAAGCGATCTAAAAAGTTCATATCAATAAGTTTTCTCTGTGCAGCACCAGGTGGCAGTCTTTGTACTTCATTTCGAGAGTGCAGATTGCATACGTTTTATTAATATGTATAACTTTATTTTATTAATAACTATAACTTTATATATATATATATATATATATATATATATATATATATATATATATATATATATATATATATTTATATAGTTTAAAAAATATTTACTCTTTTCCCAAGTGTATATAACTACTACTATAAGAAAATATTAGAACTCGGTACATACTTTCTGTAGTATCTTTGCTTGAACTGAGCCGATCTAATCCTGTTTATATGAATTGAGCCTGCTCCCGATCAGGTTTGACCTAGCAGAACTGTTGCTATGACAACAACTCTCGGATCAGCTTTGAAGAACGAAACGATCCTGGATCGTGTCAAATCGTCAACATCCAAATCCAGCTAACTGAGTAATCCACATACGAAGAACGGACCCCTGGTCTATAAAGGAGGTGTGTCAAGGTGCATTGTTGACGTTTTGCTTTTTTGAGGAACTGAAATAGACCGTGCCATTGACCAACTAAAAGCTTATGATTCAAACACTTAAACATTCCTTAATGCACACAGGATGTACAGCAATACACAAATATCTTTACATATAAAAACAAATTATTCATTACATTTTTACAAAAATATATCAATTCCTGTATAAATATAAAATGGGGGGGGGGCTTTTTTCAGTTTATTCATGACAATTTGCATTTTTATTATTAGTAGCAATATTATTTATTATATGCATATTTATACTTGTTTTAATAAAACAAGTTTAGATTTGTCCACCTGTCGGGTTTTGGAGACGTCTGCATCCATATATCAGGCATAAGGACAAGACGTGTGTTTGGATTTAACTCAGATTTTTGACCACACATTGTCATTATTCATTTATTCACTTGCTGGAAATTATTCCTGAATTTAGAAATAGTTTTTAAACAAATCTTTGCGTTTAACAAATTTAATTAAATATGTTAATATTTACATATATAGGCTGATGGATGTCTTTAGTGGAGTCTTCAACATTACCTTACTACGCGAAAGGAAATGGGTAAAGAATGGAGGAGGCTCGGTCTTTATCCTGCGCTGCAGATGGTCTGTTTAACTGTTTTCTCGCTAGTGAAGCGTTCAGTTTTTCCTCTTATAAAGCCCGGCATGTAAATAGCCAATGCACCATGGCGCAACACAACTGACTTTTAAAGGGAATGTGAAATGAGTCTCTGATTGGTTTAATGCACGTTATGCTCAAAACACACCCATAACTCATTAAAAGAATAAGCACAACCCTGTTAGACCATGCGCCGGTACGTCCTTAAAATAGCAAGTGGATTCGGACATGCACTTAATGCGTTTGCGCATTCGATTATTTTACTTACCCCATTGGCAGATTATTTAGCTTGTTTTAAGGAAAAACTTACTTATTTCTGATGTATTATTATTGTTTTAGTTTATTTGCTTATCTAGTAGAAAATGCTTATTGATTAAAGAATTTTAAGATAGTTGGACAAGAAACAAGACAAAAACTCAGAGTAAAAAAATCTTTTTTTTAACCAAGTTTTGTATCTGAAAATGAACAAAGAAATAAAAACAACACAAACAAGGATCTGTGCGTTTTTATATATAAATAAATATTTAATAACTATCTAAATAAAACAGGTATTTCCATAACATCTAATTCTAACATTACAGGAACTGTAGGGTTAAGTTAAAAGTGAGCCTGTTTCCAAAAAGGGAATGTTTAATGCATGTTTTGAAGCACATATTTTATAAACTAATTAAAGTCTTTTCACTCAAATGTAAGAAACATTAGAATTGAGAAACATCTCATTAAGAATTAAGAAGCATCTCTGATCTGAAATGTTTCATTTGAACCTTTAAAATAAAATAAATGTGGCAGGTGAACCAGCAATAGATGAAATCGAAAAATATCAGTTATAAAAAAATAAATAAATAAAGGTTCTTACCAAATACCTCATCTTGTGACTCCGCCGGCGTGTCTGTTGAATTGATGTGTTCAGATACTGTTGAGGATCCCTTCAAAATACAAATGCAATGTCAGATTTACAACCAAATAATGTTGAAATAAAACCTAAAATTATACTTTTTTAGCATTCCCAGTACAGTGCTTGTCTTCACTGGGTTGCAATTTCTCTTCAAACTTGCCTCATCTCAAACGTTCACCAGCATGTTAACACTTGTTTTCACAGCACACAGCAGAATGCACAGTTAAGTGTCAAACTGCCCTAAAATGCACTGGAAACCCACTTCAATTCCTGAGTCTACTCTAATATCACATTTCTGGTCACACAACACCTTTTTTTCCCTTGTAATGTGAAACTAGGATAAAAATGTATTATATTATGAGCTACTACATTATGACGATTACACATAATCAAGCAAAGAAAACTGCGCAAAGTGAGTAAAAATAAACTATTAAAAGAATGTGTAGCCCGTATGCAGAATTTCTAGCATTCAACTAGTTGTTTGTGTTATATAAATATATGTGGGTTATATACAGAACTGTACCATACCTCTCAGGGAAACGGCCCATAAATCTGAACAATGGGTACATCTTCGTCCCATTTAAATGGGATAGTTTACCCCCAAATTTTATTTTTTTCACTCAAGTGGTTGGAATTTTTACTTCTGTTCAACACAAAACCAGATTTTCTGAAGAATATTGGAAAAAGGAGCCACTGACTTCAATATCAGAACAAAAAAAAAACAATGAAAGTCAATGGCTGCTGCTTTCCAACATTCAGATTTGTCTTCAACAGGAGAAACTCAAAAGACAGGTGAACTATCCCTTTAAAAAAAGAACTAAGCTGTGATTCTGAGACAACTTGTATGAATAAGAAACATAAATGTAGCCACTTGAGAAGTCACTGTTCCTCTTTGTTCAAATGAAATAGATTAAGTGTGTATAAAACACTGAACAAGAATTGTTTAGCGATCAATGAGGGATGCCTTATGTCCGGGAGAGATGAAATCTGGGTTGAAATAATAGTCTTTTTTATTTCTTTTGATGACAGGTGTAGGTTCAGTTTAAGAATGCAATTTGTTTTGGAAAGTCCCATATGAGTTTGAATGCCGAAGTTTCAATACAGTATCAATATTCACATGAATACTGTGCCAGATTGGCTGATGAAAAAGTGCTTTAGTAAGAGAAAAGGTCTCCTGAAATTTGATCCAGGGTTATTGTAGTTGACTAAATCTAAAATTGATTTGTCATGTGAAATAACATGATATATTTATTTTTTCATATAATATTTACCATTATTTAAGCCAATTCATTCATTAATTTTCTTGTCAGCTTAGTCACTTTATTAATCTGGGGTCGCCACAGCGGAATAAATCGCCAACTTATCCAGCAAGTTTTTACGCAGCGGATGCCCTTCCAGCCGCAACCCATCTCTGGGAAACATCCACACACACATTCACACACACACACTCATACACTAAGGACAATTTAGTCTACCCAATTCACCTATACCGCATGTCTTTGGACTGTGGGGGAAACCGGAGTACCCGGAGGAAACCCACGCGAATGCAGGGAGAACACGCAAACTCCACACAGAAACGCCAACTGAGCCGAGGATCGAACCGGCGACCTTCTTGCTGTGAGGCTGTCGCCTATTTAAGCCAATTATCACTTAAAATTTAATAGCATTTACTTTTTAATAGCATTTACTTTTTGTATTTTTTTTACAATATTTTAACTAATAATTTTAATAAACAAATAATAATAAATAATAAATAAATAATTTAAATTAATAAAACTTAACTAATAATTGTCTTAAATATTTATCATTTACATTCAGCATAACAATTACTAACACTTACTATTACTACTTACTATTACGGTAACACTTTACAATACCAGTACATGAATAATGATGTATTATTATGTAAACTGAACATTACTTTATTATGAACTATTGTTGAGTTAATGCGAATCATGAACTAATCCAACTACAACACCAGTCACATGAGTTCATGAATAATGGTTACCCTTATTACTTGTTAGTACATGATAGTGAATTAATGGACTAATTAACATTTAACCTAAATGTAACCAACATGAACTCATGAGCTGTTAATGTATAATTAAGTCTATAATGTATAATTAAGACTTTACTTGGATAGACACATCATCATTAACTTATCCTTAACTACTTATGAATTATCCTGAACTACTCATGATGTGGACAGAACCCTTTTCTATTGTTATTCAGTGTAAACGCCCTAGGCAGGCATGCATTCGAAGTTCATAAGTAGTTAAGAATGGGTTAATGATGATGTGCCCCTCCAAGTAAAGTCATGATATAATTATACATTAACAGCTTATGAGTTCTTGACGGTTAAATTAAGCATAAACTAATGTGGTAATTAATACGCTAATTAACAAACATGCATGTACTAACAAGTAATTAAGATAGCCATTATCCTGTTAGGCAGCCGTTAAAGTTAGTTCATGATTAACACATCCATTAACTCATCATTAATCAATAATAAAGTAATGTTTAGTTTCCGTATTAACATATTAACACGCCCTTTTTCATGTACTATAATTGTAAAGTGTTACCACTAATACTAATACTACAGAAGACCAAATATATACATACAAAAATAAGAATTAATTCACACTGCTAATAAATCTGGTTAAATAGTTACTCAATGAAGCTACAAACACCCTGATTGACTTGTAAGAGCTTTGCCTTTAAGATTTTTGACAGTGGTTAAATGTAACTGTGCTATTCGTGTGCATTTTAAACTGTAACCTTCATGGTTAATCTGACTGGGCATATCAGAAAATACAGTTTATTATATATTTATGTTCTCTCATCAAAAAGATATGCTACAACCAAGTGCAAAAGAAATCATACTGTATGTCCTTAATGACTACCTGGGACATACAGTTATACATTTCTGAGAGCAGATGCCACAAAACCCTTAAATAATTAAAAACTTGTGTAAATGAATTGGTATAAACATGTCTTTAGAACAACAGTTGAGACTGACATCCCCCCCCCCACCCCTCCTAAAATGAAAGAATTCAGATGAATATTTCCAGAAATGTAATATATTAACTCCACAACATTTTATATTGAAGATCTGTACATACAGTTGAAGTCAAAATTATTAGCCCCCCTGAATTATTAGCCCCTCTGTTTATTTTTTTAACCAAATTTTGTTTAACGGAGAGCAGATTTTATCAACATATTTCTAAACATAATAGTTTTAATAACTCATTTCTAATAACTGACTTATTTTATCTTTGCCATGATGACAGTAAATAATATCTTACTAGATATTTAAGACACTTCAATACAGCTTAAAGTGACATTTAAAGGCTTAACTAGGTTAACTAGGCAGGTTAGGGTAATTAGGCAAGTTTTAGTATAACAATGGTTTGTTCTGTAGACTATTGAAAAAATATTTAGCTGAAAGGGGCTAATAATTTTGACCTTAAAATGTGATTTAAAAAATTAAAAACTGCTTTTATTCTAGCCGAAATAAAACAAATAAGACTCTCTCGAGAAGAAAAAATATTATCAGACATACTGTGAAAATGTCCTTGCTCTATTAAAATTTTTTTGGAAAATATAAAAAAAAAAGGAAAAAAATCAAAAGGGGGCTGATAATTCTGACTTCAACTGTACATATGAATAATAAAAGCATTGTCATTTTCAGGGATGACACTATCCCTTCAAGGGTTTTGCTGCGTCTGGTTGCAATTTGGTTCTTCATCATGGTACTGATGAACAATGGGTTGATGAGGGCAAGCAGCGCCTTTAAAAACACAGCATGACTTTGAATGTAAATGTCATTTTTGTCCAAATATCATTCTCCATCCTGGCTTACCAGCTGATGTGCAGAGAGATTATCTCACTGTAACAGGATATTTACTGCCAACTACTTGGTAATTTCTGCAATGATTGTTAGCAAGAGTGGGATGTAGCACTCTAGATGTGGGACAGCAGTTCATCCATAGCACTTTATGTGTGTGTTCACACTTAGCAGTAGGAATTAAATCAAAATATACTCCTCTTATTTTTCTATGTATATACTTGTTATCCGTTTGTTAAGTGTGACGTCACTTGAAGCGGCTTCCAGGTCCAAGTGCTCTTTCAAGCTGTATGGGGAGACTCATCAAATGCTAATATTAGACGTTTATAAAGCGATGTATTGCTTTCGAAAATCACAATTGTAATATATATATATATATATATATTCATGCCTAATATTCAACAGCCAGAAAGTTATTAATTCTTTTCTAAATTGTTAAGGTATTGGTGTCTGTGATGCAGCAAGTACAGAGACTGTTGTGTACACCATGATTTTGTATCAAATTGGCTTTAATGTGTGATATGACTAAAAAGGGGTCATAAACGAACATTTTCTCAACTCAAATGAGTGGCGGCTTGAACCTGGAAACAGTATTCCATACGCCATCACTTAACAAGCGGATAAACAATGTATCTGTGCACCACACTATTTTATAAAAATTAATTTGGCCTCATAATCTTTTAGCAAATACCATAACCTTCCTGCACCTTCAACCAACTTTTCTTCACTTTTGGTCACATGGAACGTCTTCAGAGCGAAGGTAACAGTCTTTTAGGACGGGGCTATCAGTGTCTCGTTTCTGCCCTGCTTTTGTCTATTTATCATTCTTCCTTCATTTTCCAACGATCCATTCAGTTTTTAAACGACAAAATCATGCACTGTCCTTCAATTTTCTTCCAATTTTGGGACCATTTATATCAGATATACTACATGACTTGGGAAAAAAAGGATGATCTTATCTTCCAAGTCATGGCGACTTAAAATTTAAACAAGCTTTGATGCAATTATTTTTTTTGTGTGGTTAATTTAAATAAGTGTGCCTAAAATAAGCAGAACGAGACTATACTGAAAAGATGCGTCTTTGGTGCTGAACGAAAAAAAGTAAAGGCAACACAGACTAAGAACATCTAAACTAAAAAACAAAACATGAGGTCAGAAGCTTTTTCCATTTGGCTGGATTGCTTTTACAGCATTGACTACGTGAGTGTATTAAAATATAATCCGAGTTTCTAAACGAGATCAATCCAAAATTGTTTCGCAAATCCTTTTGCTTGGTTTTGTTACTTCAGATTTGTTCTCTTGATTTGAGACGTTGATGAATAACCAATCAAAGTGCTCGGTTTTACCGACAGTCAACTCTACATGCTGAATTTGGCCAACCTGCTTTAACGTTTACCCAACAAGGAGCCAACTTGTGGAACACAACAAACTAGCCCAACAGACGCTCAACGATGGCCCGGCACTGCCCAACGGCCAACGTTCTGCTTGGTGTATCCCTTTACACACATCCCAATGAGAAACAATTGCCATTCAAATAGGGCTTTAGAATAATTTGTTCCTGTTATTCACGATTTTACCCATTCGCCAACCTGATTTCATCAAGTAGGACCTGTTCCTGGATTAATCTATGTTGATCCTGAAACAACATTCCAATCACCCAATCAGAAATAAGGGATATGTTTACAGTTTACGTTAAATTTAGGCATATGGTTAGGTTTATGCACTCCTACATGATTGTTATCCAACTAATATTCCCCTTATGGTTGAGTTTAGAGGCAGAGAACAGGTATAGATAGAAAAAATGATGTTCCAGGATCATCATAGATGTTAATCCAGGACCATATCGTACTTGGCAAAATCATGTGCGTTTTACCCGTTCTAGTTCAATACAGGGATTAAAGAAAGAGTCCCTTTACAGCAGAATTTCATTTCAAGAGTTCCCACTTAGATATGCTTGGCATTTATAGCAGGTTTGGCATGCTGTCCCGGAAGAGAACCCTGTGCTCGGAGATATTTGAGCCCAGGGCTCCCGCCCGGTCTAAAAGCATATCAAGAGAATCGAGATCAGGTAGGTCTCGATCGCTCCCCCTTTAGAAGGGGAGAAAAAGGAGGAGATGGGGGGGAAGGGGGGATTCTTCCAAAACGAAGATAGAGCAATAAGGAGAAAGTGATCCCTTTATATTAAGCTAGGATCATTCTGATTGGATTATTATTGATTACGGATGAATGGCCAGCAGTGCACAATCATATCACATGCTCTTCTCGAAATTAGTTTATGAAACTTCACTTTGTGCCTGGGAATTTCTTGGCACTGACCTTTATCCATCTCTTTACATTCAGTCTTAAAACAACACTATGAGTGATAAGCAAAACAGGACTAAATGAATCATTGTCTTTTTTGATTGGGAACAAAATAACTTGAACCAAACTACAAGTGTGAACACACCCTTAGAAACTAGGGATTGCTATGCACTGTGAAAAATGCTGGCTTCCACACGATTCCCTTCTGTTGTCCCAACACAAATCGAGTAAGTTAGCGCAAAAGTTTTTACAAATTTAAGTGGATTGAACATAAAACAACGAAGTTGTCCCAAAAAACTTAAGAATTGTGTTGTTTCAACTCATTTTAAATTAGTAGTTTGAACAAGCAGCAAAAAAAACAAAAAAATTTTGAGTGTGTTTACATTTTGTAACTCACAATCCCTGCATTTTTTGAAGATCTAAAACATTTTCTTTTCAAAGATATTCTCCCAAACAGCATGTCATTAGCATTTTTAAACCACTGCTTTGCTTCTTTTAGATGTTTTAGGCCATGTATTAGCATGGATAGTCAAGACAGCATTGGTGATTTCTCAAAGAGACAGAGGTGTGAGACCAGGCTTTGCATCCAGGATGGTGAATGCCTTGATTGTTGTGAACTTGTTTGCGACTGTCGATTCTAACATGTATAAATGACAATCACAAATCATGTACTTACTTCTTTCCCAGGATGTAGGTTAAATTACTGTAACATAATGCAAAGCACCCAATGTAATTCAATTCTACCACTCTACTGAAGATTTATATAGAAAAATACAAACAATAATAACTACAGCTGGTAAAATAAGTTTTAAACACATCATCATTTTTCTCAGAAAATACGTTTCTAAAGGTGCTGGTGACTTGAAATTTTTACCCGATTTTTCCACGTATACAAGGAAAACAAAAGTAATTAGAATAATAAATAACAAAGTAAAATGGTGCAGGAAAAAAAGCATTGAACACATGAGGAAAGGAAGGTCTGGAAAGCCCAGAGAAAAGCTGGAATCGCTCAGTAGTTTTCAGCAACCATGCCTATTGTCATTGTTAATTAATATTAGCTGCTTCAGTCCAAACACTTACATTACCACAAGCTCTCAAATGACTTCAGAAATCACATGAAGAAAGGGAGGTCTAAAAAGGTATGGAAAGCCCAGAAAAAAGTTGAAATCGCTCACTAGTGTTCCGCAACCCTGCCCTCTTGTCGTTGTCAATGAATATTAGCTGGTTTAGTCCAACATCTATATTACCATAAGCTCTCAAATGGCTCCAGAAAAACAAATGAAGAAAGGGAGGTCTAAAAAGATATCGAAAGCCCAGAGAAAAGCTGAAATTGCTCAGTAGTGTTCAGCAACCCTGCTCCTTGTTTGTATTTCAACTATATAAATATTGGTTGCTTCAGTCCAAACACCTACATTACTGCAAGCTCTCAAAATGACCACCCCCCCCCCCCACCCCCCCCCCCCCCCGACCTGACTTGAATCAGTTGAAAATAGGATCAGAGTTGATAGATGTGACATTCAGAACTGTCAGGATTTCTAGACTATCTTGAAGTTTGGGGGGGTCAGGCATGTGACTTCTTGCAACATAAGTTTTAAAGCTGTCCTAACCAAAAACCACTTTATACAAATGATTTATTAAACTTCAGTAGTTCAGTGCATTTTCCTCATTGCACACACTGTAAAACCCAATAAGTTAAGGTAACTCAAACCATTTGAGGAAACAGATCGCAATAAACCATTTAAGTTCAAAATCTAATCCTAATGAGTACTGTGAACTTACTATATTTGAGTAAACGAAGCAATTTGAGCACAGTAAAACCCAATAAATAAAGACAACCCAATCAGTTAAGGCAGCTCAAACTGTATGAGGAAACCGATTGCTACAAACCGTTTGCATAAAAAAAACTAATCTATATGAGTACTGTGAACTTACTCCATTTAAGTTGACGTGATGAGGTATTTAATTAACTCGTTACCTTCAACACTGAGTTCAAAACTCTTTTCAAATGAGTTGAATTAACTTTCAGTAACCTACACTCATTTCATTTGATAAAGTTGACTGTTGGGTTTACAGTGCATGACTAAAGGTTGTGATTATTTTGGTTCTATTTAACAGTGGCGTAGCAAAATGTGGAGGCCCCCCTGCAGGGATCACTGACGGGGCCCCCAGTTGGGGGGGGGGGGGGGGGGGGGGGGTAGGGTGCAACGCGGGGAAGCCATCACAAATTGAAGAGCGGGAAAGGGAGGCAGGGTGGAGCGACAACGCGGGGAAGCCATCACAAACTGAGGAGCGATCACAAACTGAGGAGCGGGAAAGGGGCGGGGTGGAGCGACAACGCGGGGGGAAGACTTTACAAACTGCGAAGCGATCAAAAACCGAAAGCGGCGAGAGCGTCAAAGTAGCCAGATGTCATTCATTTTTAATGAGAACCGGCGGCGAGGCGCGGTAAGGCGCAGCACGGCGCGTCTTCTCCTGTGTGGGCGTCGAGGATAGTTGAAATCAAGTCAACTTTATGGTATGAGCTATGACGCGGTTTGGCGGCAAGCAATCAGAATGAAGTAGTCCACCGCTTGAGAGATGTTCAGAGAACACAGACCTGTGAACTTTGGTTCCGACCACAGTTGTTCCCAAGAGTTTGATTATTGCGGTTGCCGGATTTTCAATTATTGAGTGGCGTAGTGGCGTAGCGGGCCCGTCCGCTACGCCACTGCTATTTAATCTGGGCCAATTTCATGCCAACAGCTGCTTTAGCAGGAAAAATCATGATGCGTTCAATACTTTTTAACCAACTCTATGCCAACTCTATAACCAACAAACCCTGTTTCTGGAGATCGACCTTCCTGCAGATTTCAGTTGCAACCCATACCAAACACACCTGCCTGTAATTAGCCAGTGCTATTCAGGTCCTAATTAATTAGTTCAGGTGAGCTTGATCAGGGTTGGAGCTGAACTCTGCAGGAAGGTAGATCTCCAGGAACTGGGTGGAGCACCGGTGGTATACACTATTATTTGGCCCATTTTTATCCGCAAGATCATAAAAAAAAATACATACAGACAGATATATATACATACCTTGGAAACAGAAAGTGGCTCACGTTTTCCAAGATGCTGCCCCATGCTCCTGAGAGAAGATGAAAAAAAATGAGCGTTAAGAAATAATTACATTTGAATTAAACAGAGTTCTTATGTTTGAGAAGAGTGTGTTTGAAGGATTCACAACATGTAGCATGTTATTTCAGAAAGAAAAAGAACGATTATTAAAAATACTTTATTAACACTTCAGACTTAGCCAATCAAGATAAACTAAAAGCTGTAAATAGAATATTGTACTATAATATACAAAGTGCTATGAAAGCTCTTGCTTTGGTTATTTTAGTCAGTAATTCAAACCATAAATCAGAGTAAGTATTTGTGTATTTTATGACCCATTCCTGAGAAACAGTGAAACCTCAAAACTCGACAGCATTTATGCATTCTGATACAGTTCCAACATGTAGTTCCCACTTCATAATTAAATCAACAGTGCCCTCTAGGACATCCAAACACATATCTTCATGTCTTCTGAAAGCTCCTTCCTCATTTTTGTTCTTCAAAGACATTAAAATATATTTACTACATTAATAAATTTACCCAAATACATTTAAACAAACAAAAACAAAAAAATCAAGACATCCACTTTTCTACAAACATCAAGATATTTCCAAAATACTTGTTATTAAGTCCATTATTATAGTAATAAAATCTAGCCCAGAGGCCTTCCAAAGGGGTTCTGCAACTCTAAGGGAGTTCAAAGCAGTACTGACGCATATTTTCCATGTTTTTGAACGGCATGTTATCGGATCTTCAACGAAATGCTTAAATTACACATGAAAGATTTGCTTTATATTCATTCAAAATCTCCCTTACACCAAGCAAAAACAATAAATAAAGGGATAGTTCACACAAAAACAACACTTCTCTAATCATTTACTCACCCTATCGTGAACATTATTCTATGGAACAACAAATATTTGAAAGAATGTTGGCAACCGAGTCTTATGTTCCACATAAGAAACAAAAACATATGTTTGGAAACACATGACACCAACGCTAACAGCAAGACCCAACTTAAGTTCGAACATAAATATAATGGGCTTATTATACGTAAAGACATTATGAATGCAATGTTTTCATCATTCAGTGAATAAATAAATACATTTCTTTTTAAGCACATGAAAACGGGCAACTCTCCTGCGAATGTCTTTCACTCCTCAAGTTTGAGCAGAAAATAAATGGGTTTACATGGACATCAAGCTATTTTTCTTTACTGACATTGAAAATGGCTTAAGCATTAACCACAAAAACTCAATGTGAATTCTCTGTCAAAACTGATATTTTTTTCTTCCTTAACAGTGTTGACAGAGAATACTTTATCAGTCTGGAAGCTTATCAAGCTGTGTGCCTCATGAACAGCTCAGCTCTTTGAACACTTAAACTACAGACACTAAAATAATAAAGCAAAATAACTGTACAGAACAAAGGTAAAATTACTACATCTGAATGAGTTCAATGCAGCGCACAGATCCATGTCACCATACACTTCACTATCATTTTTTTTAAAAGGCTGTGATTTTAGTAACCGAAAAAGGTAAATATGCGCGTAAGGAATAAGAGATTCCTTACTACATATGGTGAATAACCATGAGTTCCCAAAATTCAGTTGTTGTTGTTTTTTAACATTACAAAAATAAATGTTTTCATCACTTATGTAGGCCTACAGTAGATTTTATAAGGCATCTATTGTTGTTGTAAGTGTGTTTACTTCAGTGTTGAGTGTATAAGCATGATGATGTTTAGTATAAACGACTAAAAACTCAACTATTTAGTCTACACTTCACTTCCTAATCTGCAATTGCCTCTCTGGATATACCACTAACTAGGGGTGTAACGATACACTCAGCTCACAATGTGTATCACGATATAATGTTCACGATTCGATATGTATCACGATATTTGGAATAAAAATTTAAAATGAAACTGAAATGCACATTTTACCAAGTAAACTATTTTTTATGTATTTCTTTTGTTTCAACTTGTTAAACTGAAGCTTCTTTAAGAAAATATATTAAACAGGCCTGTCTCTGGAAAATAAAACAATTTAAAAACTTCTTAAAATATATTATTGAAATGACAGAGACAAAATTAAGGAACAATTTTAGTAAAGGTGCAAAAAAATAAGCTTTCTATTCAATTGAATTTAACAGTAAGAGCTTAAGGCTTTGCTTGGTCACTTGCGTTTTTTGTGTGTGCAAAAAAAAAAATCCACATTTCCAGGTATTTAATTCATATTTAATTAAATGTGTCTAGAGATATTTCTAATTACAATTGTGACTAGTCAAAACTCATTAAGAGATATCTGCAAATATTTTTCAATGGAAGTCAATGGAGGAATATGACTAGTCATAATATATTTGCAGATATCTCCAATCTGATTTCGTACTAGTACAATTGTAATTGCAGATATCTCTAATTGTCATTCTGACTAGTCGAATTATAATTATGGCTAGTCAAAATATGATTAGAGATATCTCTAAATATATTTATGGATAGTCAGAACAAGAGTTTAAATGCTAAAACGGCTTGCCATACGCGCGCGTCTATCATAGTCCGCCCTCTGTAGTAACAGCTCACGGTCAGCTCACGTCATGTGTGATTTTGCGGCCGCCAATACATCATTATATGAAGACAGAATGATATTTTAGGGTGAATTGTACCTTATAAATACAGTATGTGACTCTTTTAACACCATTAGAAGGTTTCCATGTCGCTGTGCAAAGTATGTAAATCACTGTGAAGACTTTAAAACTTAAGATGTTTGACCCAGTATGCGTGTCAAAAAGCGGACGAGTCTAAAGCAATGACTGTACAACCGAAATGTTGCCAGACGTCTGATTTTGAGAGGATGGGCCATCCTCTATTTCAGCTCCACTCATCTTGGTCTGCTAACATTACTGCTGCTGCAATCTGAACTCACGTGCGACAGCAGGTGGAACGTAGCTCACGTGCAAACAGCTCAACTAATAAGAGAAAACGGACATCATATCGTAATCAAATCGTCATAACGCCACGATGCATATTGTGACATTTTTGCATCGCAATAAATCGTACAACGATAAATCGTTACACCCCTACCACTAACTGTACTCAAAAAAAAAAATATATATATATATATATATATATATAATAATAATTACTAATACTTTTTAGACTTTACAGACTTTAAATTGCTTGCTTGTCCTCATTTGTAAGTCGCTTTGGATAAAAGCGTCTGCTAAATGACTAAATGTAAATGTAGTATTTGTGTGAACGATACTGAGAATCTTCTACATATTAATATTTTTCTGCTTTTGGAAAAGCTGTTTGAGATGAGCTTTGACTCATGGTGTGAATTTCTTTTCACCACCTGCTTTTGGTGTTTTTGCCTGTATACTACTAGTACAACCTAGATGTTAGCATATTTTGTAGGCTAATAAAATACAGTAATTTACCCAAAATGTTTTAAATCCGATGCTAACTGGCACAGCATGCCACAGTTGAATATAGCTATAAAATAATAAGCTAGATGTATTAACTCACTTTGATTCAACTATTACAGAAACAAATGTGACTGGCTATGCCAGATCTATATAAATATGTCTAGATATCTATATCCTGTATAGAAAAATATGTATAGAAAATATGTATATAATTTTTTGTAACACTTACCATGTGACAACAGTCCCACTCCCACCTGTCCACAGGAGCAGGTAGTGCTGAACAGCTGACTATTTAATTACCCGACACTAACGCTGCGTTAGGAGGAATGCTTGTGATGTATGTGGTCATTTTAAGTACTTGGATAACAAAATAAATGTTGTACAACCTTTTTTTTTATTGCAATAAATTCTAAAATATCAGGGACTTTTGACAACACTTCAGGGGCTTAAGCCTAGAGGTGTGAACCTATACTGGTCTCACGGTTCGGTTCGGTTACGATTATCATGCCATCGATTCGGTTTAATTCGATATCTCGGTGCATTGACGATGCTTTCCATACACAGTGTTATATTTTGGGGGAGGGCTATAACAAGCTGTCTGTATAAACACACAGACACACAGCCCCACCAGTCTCTCATTCATTCGCAATATGCGTTTAGACGGGAGAAAAAAATAAAAAATAAATTATATATATATGCGTGTCTGTGTGATGTATGTAAAATTTGGCCCGGGACAACGTTTTTTTTTTTTTTTTTGCATCTAACCCTCGGTCCAAAAAGTTTGGACACCCCTGCCCAAAGCAGACTCACTATAATTATTCTTTAATCATTTACATGAGCATTCTACATAAAAAAATCACTAAAAATATGGATGCAATTATGTCATTATTTACATCGGGTTGCGGCTGGAAGGGCATCCGCTGCGTAAAAACTTGCTGGATAAGTTGGCGGTTCATTCCACTGTGGCGACCTCGGATTAATAAAGGGACTAAGCCGAAAAGAAAATGAATGAATAAATGAATGAATGAATTACTTACATCTTGCTTTTTGCCATATTTATCCAGTTCCATCACACAAAAGCACAAACACAGGGCTTCCCTTTCCATAATAAGCATGGTTTATATAAATGTTGCAGTTACTGCAAGATAATTTAGACAAACAGACAGACAGACAGCTCAGCATATAGAAGTATACCCCTCAAATCTATCATTTAAATTAATATTTTTAATAGGAAGCTATAAATTAAAATATTATATTTATGCATATACATTAGACATATACATTGGAGCTTATCTAACAAAATAACTTATGATAGAGGTCCAAAAACTAGTATACCTAAAATTATATGTTATAGAAAAATATTAAATACAAAATTTAAAAAGGATAAATCAAGAGAAGCAAAACAATGTAGTTGAAATTTTGTAGGTTTGTTTTTTTGTTGTTGTTGTTGTTTTGCAATAGTTTGCTTGAATTTAATTGTATTATGTTTAAATTTATAAATATAATGGGTGACTAAAATATTATTTTAATAAATATATCTGTTTAATAAATTTGTTTTGTTTAAATGCACCACAATACATGGCCTATATTCACTGGGAAAAGGATAAAAATATTCATTTTCAAAATGGGCTATAATCAATTATGCTGAGCACTGTAGACAGACAGACAGACAAACAGACAGGCAGACTGATTCTGATTTCTTGTTCTTGAATAATGATTGGAACACAACTTTAAAGTTACTCACTAATGTTAGTCGGGTGTGAATTACTGGGGGGTATGGGGGGGATTGTCCCCCTTAGTTAACACTTGATCCCCCATGAAGTATGTCAAAACAAGATGTATGGGGGGTCAGCACTTTAATACTGAGAAATAGCTCACTCCGATCTTTTTCTTAAATAATAAATGTTAATAATTAAAATAATAGACTATATAAAGACACATTTGACCACCCCTATAACAGTTCATACCATTGTGAATGCAAAATCACGCCAATCAGTCTATGCAAGAAACACATGGCTCTTTCCTCGTAAAATAGGGGTCTGTATCTATACATATACCCTGAAAGTAAAAACAAATTAAATGGAGTTTTTATAGTTTGACCGACAGAAATAGCTGAAGGAGCTAACCAGAGGATACTGAATACAATAAATATCCCTCAAAAAAACCTAAATATGCTTTATTTATAAACTAGATTTAATTAACAATGAATATACAAATGACTAAAGCATGTATTACACTAATCAAAAAAGTTCACCCCAAAAATAACAATGCCAGTGACTCGTGACCCCCAATATCTTCTGAGGTGGTTATAAAAATATAAATCTTGCACACAACGGCCCACACATACTAGTAGGCTCAAGTTTATTCATCATTTAATTTTGAAGAACGCCAATTGGAGACGATCCTTCATGTTCTGTTGTGGCTTGTATTTATTTTTATTGTACATTTCCTGTAAAGATGTCTTTTTTTAATGTACTTGCTGTGTCCTTTATATAACGTAATCACCCCAGGGGTTGCAAAAAAATAATAACAATAAATAAATAAATCGAATGACTGATGCTTTTTATTTGCATGTTGTTGTTTTTTTAATGTATCTATTAACTACTATAGTTCAGTTTATTTTTAGGTTATGGATAAAATGTGGTAATTTGAATAGTATAATAAAGTGAATTTGATTTTTGGTAATTACCAACCCCCCGGCCCCTCATTGTATCTCGACCCCCACTTTGGGAACTGCTGGGTTAGAGTGTATATTTCTGTGAACACAGATGATTGTGCAGTAGCCTACACTGTGTGCTGATATTTCAGAGTGCAAACCGAGATAAAGCAGCAGTTCTTTTCAGTGTATTTTCATTCTGCTGCCTGTGTTGCAGACCACCGACAGAAGAGGGCGAAATTCCTGACACAGCCGGCAGGTGAGACCCTCGACCGAGTTGTTTTGAATCGTCGAGACGCCGCCTGTACCTTCCCGCCCACCGCATCTAATCTACGTACTCGACGAAAATACAACTCCAGCTAATATCGCCCACGTTAGTTTCCCTCAGAACAAGAACCAAAAACGCGGAAATTGGCACTTCTCAGTTGTTTTATCACCTGAAACCTTAGAATGATGTGTATTCAATGTAAATTTGACGCTTGAAAACCGTTTACATGTATTAAATTCGCCAAAAACTGGTCGAAAGTTGAAAACACCACGAGGGAACTCGACGGAAAAAAGCTGTAAAATGTGCTTCCTGTCTTCCAGTTATCTGTCATTTGTTGTGGTGTCAACAAATGTACGTTACTAAAATGATTACCGACATAATGTACAAAAATATGTACGACATATTTGATAGTGTTGCAACAGCTGGACGGATATCGCCTCACATCTGCTAGACACGCGCTTTAGTTGTGTAGTACACATGCAAATGAAAGTGACATCACAAGATATTTTGATACAAATCGGGGCCTCTGGGTAAACAGGGAAAAACAATGCTCATTTGTTAACACGAACGTATGTTGAATTGTACATAAAATGGTGCCATCAGCCTTTTGGATCGAGTGACAGGGCCAGAAGACAGGTAACAGCACCTCACATCTGGCACAGAAGTTGCAGAGGTGCTCGAGGCAAATTGGGATTACATAATAAATGGGTACCGTCTTGACAGAAATAAAAGCCACCGACTACACCATGCGTTTAGCTTGCAAGAATACTGAGCATAAAAAGTAAAGCCAATTTCAAGCAAATTTGGCAAGCGTTTAGGATGTCGTGATTTGATGAGCAGACACTAACACACACACACACACATTTACGTACATACTTGTTTGTCCAGACGCGTCCAGGCGATATATAGATGTCAGATTTTGGCTGCTCGCCTCAGCAGTGCATCAAAAAATCCACATCAGAGCAAAATCATATGTTGTAAGCTTTGTTTTTCTGTTTCAGTCGCATGTGGCTTGGATGGATGATCCACTAATGTACTTCCTGCTTTTAGGTAGCGCTGTGTTATTCAGTGGGGTGGGGCCATGAAACCTCACGTATGTTTACGAAGCCATCTAAATGGGGAAATACGCTAATCACAGGTTTCATACAACAGCATGCCTTCACCAGCTCTCAGTTTTGTAATTAAATAAAATGTAATTACTTTCATTGACATTTTATTCTATTTTATATTTTATAAATATTTATTTTACAAACTTTATCATTTTATTCTATCTATCTATCTATCTATCTATCTATCTATCTATCTATCTATCTATCTATCTATCTATCTATCTATCTATCTATCTTTCTAATTTTTATTTCATCCATCCATCCATCCATCCATCCATCCATCCATCCATCCATCCATCCATCCATCCATCCATCCATCCATCCATCCATCCATCCATCTATCTATCTATCTATCTATCTATCTATCTATCTATCTATCTATCTATCTATCTATCTATCTATCTATCTATCTATCTATATTTTTATTCCATCCATCCATCCATCCATCCATCCATCCATCCATCCATCCATCCATCCATCCATCTATCTATCTATCTATCTATCTATCTATCTATCTATCTATCTATCTATCTATCTATCTATCTATCTATCTATCTATCTATCTATCTATCTTTCTAATTTTTATTCCATCCATCCATCCATCCATCCATCCATCCATCCATCCATCCATCCATCCATCCATCCATCCATCCATCCATCCATCCATCTATCTATCTATCTATCTATCTATCTATCTATCTATCTATCTATCTATCTATCTATCTATCTATAATTGTATTTATTTATTTTTACAAATGGCAGTTGTCAGTGATTATATCAAGTACTTCATTGATGTGGACAACATTTCTTACATCCTGAACTAATAAATTCCTGTTTGTAGTATTTAATTTAGTTCATTCTCAGTCATATGAGCTTTGTGAAGTGCTTAAACAGTGAAACAGGTATCATAGTGCTATGCAGCCGTTATAGGAATAGTTTACACAAAAATAAAAATGTATTTACTCATCCTCGAGTGGTTTCAAACATTTTACGATTTTCTTTTTTTTTTTGAACACAAAAGAATATTTTTGAAGAGTGTTAGTAACCATTTTAAACACAAAACCTTTATTAAGTCGATGCCTACAGGTTTCCAACATTTTTTAAAATGTCTTTTTTTGAGTTCAACAGAGGACATTAACTCGCGTTTGAAAGAAGTCAAGAAATGAATGAATGATGGAATTTAAATTAAAAAAGGGTTTTCTCTCACCGTATGAAATAATACCTATGCAATCAGTGGCACACTTTAAACTAGTCCATCTAAAATGAATGTTTAAGACCAGAGAGAAGTCTCCAGAATTCATATAAAAACAGTGACAGCATGTCAACAGTGAATTTCTACAGTAAAAATTCTCTAATGCTTTATTTTGATGGCTTTCAAACAGACTCTCGACTAGCTGAAATTAACTTTTGAACACTTTTAGAGATAAAGGTTGGAAAGCTGTCACTGGTACCTTTTCAAACGGTACATAATTGTACTTAAAGGGTCCCTATTGGTACCTCAAATAATAGTACCTAAAATTTCAAAAGATAAGCTTATGTACTTTTTAGGTACTAATATGTACCCCTGAGTTATTAATAAGGACCCTTAGTTACAAATGTATACCTTTCAAATAGGAACTACCCCAGTTCTTGTATTTTTATTTCTGAGTGTGAAATGTAAAGTTATTCTACTAAACACTAAACATAAAATGTTTTTCCTTTCTGTTTTGAAAAGTTTCGTGTACTGATGAAAACATTTTATCAATATATTCAACATTCACATTAAGAGGAGAAGATAAAAGCTGTAGTATTATGAATGGCAGGATTAAGCGTGCATAACCACCAATTTTTGCTACGACAGACTTACACTCTACTAAAACTCTAATGAGATTTGTCTGACTCGTACCTACGAATAAACTTTTAGCAAACAAAATATCTTAAAGGGACAATCAAAATAAAGTGTCACCAATTTTTTTTTCTCCAGTTTTTCCTCACTCAATTAATATATAAAATCAAATAACTTGCATATTTAGAAATAGCCAAACATAATCTGTCTAAATTGTGAGGGCGATTAATTAATTATGATAAAATCTCTACGTAATTTGTCAGTGAAACTGCAAACCAACCAGCAAAGATGTTATAATTATGCTATAGTAAGGAATAGCACACTTAAAGTTAACTTAAAGTGTAACAGTTTCTCAACTCGCTTTATTGTTAAAGTGACAGTAGTCTATGTAGATGAACAATGTTACACTTTCTCTGTATAACCCTGACAGAGGAATTCATAATGATGTGTAAATCCATGGTACGATTTTAAAAAGGAGGCGTGGCACCTGACCCCACCCCTAACCCCAACCGTCATTGGGGATAAGCAAATCGTACTAAATTGTACGAATTAGATCGTACGAATTCATACGAATTAGCCACTAAATGAAAAAGTTACGAATTACCGTGAGATTGTGTTGGTAAATCACCTTCAATGAGCCTTAAGCAGACGATTATTGGATAATGTAAAACACTTCATCCAGGTGAAAATGACAGACGTCTATATTTTTGTATCAACACTCAACGACAGCTTCCTGTATGATCACAAATGGTCTGAAATGTACTGTAAGATGGGTACTGTAAAGTTACATAATCATTTTGTTCACTCTTTAAACACCACTGTGAGGAACAGCGAACACTATGTTAGCCGCATTCTTGTATGCAGTGGTGTTTTGCTTCAGGGGGTTTGGCAGAAGTTTCACCCTGTTCCTCTAATCCATATTAATTGACGGAAGTCTTTCAGCTTTGTTTTGTTTTTTCAGTTTTTGTTTGTAGATATTCGGTTTTTCATGGTAGTGTTCTGTTTACATTTGCATGTCTTTGCAGGCTTAGTGCTGTCTACTTGACGTAGAAACCGAAAAACTCGCTCCTCTTAAACATTTGAATTTTCACACCTGGGAGCAATAGTTATCACTGTGACTAAAGGTTTGCTAAAGTAACAAAACTATATTTGATTCTATTCAAGCCAGTCTAATAGGAACAGACTTGGATGGCTGCATGCCTACAGTGGTGGGAAGCATACTAAAAATCATACCTATAAGTACCATTTCCATACCTGTCAACCCTCCCGTTTTTCTCTGGATTCTCCTGTTTTTTACAATTCTACCCCGCTATCATCCCATAAGGATATTTTCCCATTTTTCTCCCATATTTTTAATCTTTCTATGAAAGCTGGCAATAAACATCAGAGTCCATCCTCCCTATAAACATCAAATACATGCAATTTGTGCCTGTATTTAAAAATGTAACTTCTGTAGTGTATTCAGCTATTGTTTAAGGCTACTTGATGATTTCAGTCATACAGTAGGCGTCATTCATTTATCACATCAGTGTCCTGCAGGGTAAACTCTTGTTGTTGAGTTTAATCATTTTACACTTCTATCAGACACTCTTAATGTTTACACAATGTACATGTTTACTGCATTTATAAAGCATCAGTGGCTTGTGGTCGGTCTGCCTTATGTGATTTGTCTTTGTGCAATTTTATCATACGAGACTCACAGAAATGATTATTCTGCTTAGCCAATCACAGTAGACAAGAAAAAGTAAAACAGGTTGATTGCAGGTTGAAAGAAAGTCATGCGTTTAAAATAAATTTAACTGAAAGTAAACATTTTTAACACTACTTAGTAAAGTACATTCATTAATTTCCCTTCAGCTTAGTGCCTTGTTTATCAAGGGTCGCCAGAGAGGAATGAACCACCAACTATTCCAGCATATGCTTTATGCAGCGTATGCCCTTCCAGTGGCTACCCAGTACTGGGAAAAACCCATACACTCTCACATTCACACTCATACACTACGGCCAATTTAGTTTACCCAATTTACCTATAGTGCATGTCTTTGGACTGTGGAGGAAACTGGAGCACCTGGAGGAAACCCACGCAAACACGGGGAGAACATGCAAAATCCACACAAAAATGCTAACTGGTCCAGCCAGGACTTGATCCAGCGACCTTCTTGCTGTGACATGACAGTGCTAACCACTGAGCTACTGTGCCGCCCCTTAGTAAAGAACAGTTCCTGAGAAAAACTACTCAGTGGAAGTAATTTAGGTATGTGTAAGTTCATGAATTTATATCACTTCATTCCTTGAGAATTATTTAACCCAGGCTCATTCTGAAATTGTACCACTATATCTATTTCTGGGGTTTTTTTAGCAGTTTTTTTTTTCGCAAATCTGTCGCTGTGTACATTTTTTTAGATCTCAAATTTCTCTCTTCTCATGTAAATCCACCAGAGGCCACTGTCATCTGACTAAATGACTGACTGACTGACCGACCGACTGACCCACTCTCCTCTTTTACCAAATTCAACCAATAGTTTTTTCAAAAGCACCGATTGACCCACCCACCAACTTCCCTAAACCCAACCGACAGTTTTAAAAAGCAATCCAGAAAAATAAAAGCCCTTACCTGATTTCTACCTTGTTTTCAGAATTTACCACATTCTCACCCTGTTATTTACTTGTTTCTATTATTTTTTTGGCTTTTGTTTTTCTCTTACCCACTCTCTGGAGCTGGACTCGAACCCTGTCGTCATGGTCAACTCCTCTCTGCATCTCAAGTCCGCCGACGTACATGGCGAGCCACTGGACAAACTGGTAACAGCGGAAAAGCCATCCATATGGAGGTAAGTAGTCGGCTAGTAAGTGGGAAAAGGAACGGTGTCACACCGCCCCGTAGTGTTCGTTTTAAAAATGAAATGCAGCCATACGTAATTCTGGCTACATACTGTAATTCTTCATCTCGAGAATTGTATATAAGGCTACGATTTCAGATTGAGCTGATGTTTGAATTATTTTTAAACTCATTTTTGTTCAGAAGGGAAGATATCTGCCTTTTCTCTGTAAGTTAGCACTGATTTTTCCCCTTACACCCCATTCACACGGTGCTTCAGCGTCACTGCTTGACAGAGGGCGTGTCTGAAGTTGGGGCTGACTCAATCG